GCTCAGCTGCTGACCCGTCTGCCATGCAGTTACAGCTCCACGCTGCCACAGGCCTGGAGGGTGAGGTGGGGGCTTCAAATTCTTACCTCAACTCTGATTGACTCCTCAACCCAAAACAATAACTGCTGCTGAGAAGATTTTGCTGGCAGTTTTCTCTTGCTGTATAAAACTCTGGGATTCCAATACACTGGAAAAATAAAAGGCAATAATGCTAAAGCCTACGTTTTTCAAATCTCATTTTAAGATTGCACGAACAGTGGCTTTATTTCCTGCCTGCCTAATCCAAACATGCCTAGGGCAGCTTTGAATAACCTCAGCAAGAGAAGACTAAACATCTATTTAAGACCTGAAGGTAGGTTTAGTGTTTTACAAAAGGATGTAATTCTTGCTCTGCATGTTTTATAATGCAGGGAGAGAATTAAGAATTCATGTGTCAGACCATCCTGGTCTTGTATTACAGGATGGTCCTGGTTAAATTAAGACTCAATCATTAATAATGACAACTGCCCACTGCTCCCAAAACCACTCTGTCACCTGAAGAGGGTGCACCCTCCACTGTCAACAGGTTTTAAGCAGATTGTTTCTAGCATTTATTGTTTCAGCCCTTCAGAGGCCCCATCTCAGTGAATCCTGGAAACGCTGAAACACTGGGAGCAGCAGCACACCCACCCATTCATTATCCAAGAACACCCCCCTTCCTGCAGACACAATTCCAGCTCCTCCAGCTCCAGGACTGCCTGAAAGGTTTATCCCAGGCCCAGCCTTAGGGAGCAAGTGCAGACTAAATATTTGAACCTCTCACAGGAGAGAGTTCTTGTCTGGCACCCCATGGAGAGCTGCTCAGCACAGCTGCAGCTCCAGGACACAGAATCCCAGAGTGGTTCTGGCTGCAAGGGAGCACTGGGTGTCGTCCCACCCAACCTCCCTGCTCAGGCAGGGTGCTCTGAGCACATTGCACAGGGCTGTGTCCAGGTGGGCTCTGAATATCTCCAGGGAAGGAGATCCACAGCCTCTCTGGGCAGCTTGTTCCAGGCAATCCCATGGGAATTTTCCCTCCCTGCCCACCATACAGCACTCCTGGGGTTTGCCTGGCCCCTTACACAAGCTAAGCCAACATAAAGTCCTTCTTCTTCCTGGTAAATCCTCACCAATTTAACTCCTTGGATTCATTCTGGGGTCAGGCAAATGCCAAAAGAGGAATAAAAGAGAGCAGGAACAGGTTTTTCAGCAGCAGCTGCTCCTCAGATTCCCTCAGCTGCAACATTTCAAGACCATACTCCCGTTTTCTGAGCAACTGGGAGTCTTTGCCTTGCAAGCACCAGCCCCTTTTCCTACAAGAAAACTCCTTTCATTCCTACCTCTTCACTCCCCACCTGGATCCTCTCTCTCCCACCCTCCTTTTCTTCCCCCTCCTTCATTCTCAGCTTGTTAAGACTACAAAAGCACCATCTATTCTATTCCACCAGCTGGGAAGAAATTATTTCCCTTTAAAAATATCTGCAAAAGAACCTACTTTGCCTGACAGCAGCAATTTGTAGTGCACTGGGCAGCCCAGAGGCCTCAGACAGGAATAAGGGAAGGGCCTGGACCCCTCACAATCAAACCACAAGGAGAGCAAAGTGGATTGAAGTGGATCATGAGGGGGAAAGTAAGAGTTTCTCACTAAAACAGGTTAAAGCTGCCCCAGGGAGGCCAAAATGCAGTGAAAGGAGGTAGAATTCAGGGCAGTGTGTAGAAGCACATTTAGGTGCAAGTGAAGCTCATTGTTCTCCACCCTCCTTGTTAATTGGGTACATTAATTATAAACCACTCAGGTGTTTGGTCTTTGTCAGAATCAGCCACTCTCAGGTCCAAGTTACCAATGCAGCCTTGGTGAGGTGATCCACAGTCACAGGACAGAACATCCAGCACCTTCAGCCTCCTCCACCTCCCCTGTGCTCTGCCTACACATTTGCTTTTTACTTTTTAAAGCTCTGAGATTTCCCCTCACACTGAACTTCAGCAGGCTGTCAGCTCTGTGAGCACATGAGGACAGCTGCTCACAATCTCCAGGACAGCAAGAGTGATCAGAACCCTCAGGATTGAAATGAAAAGATGGGAATGAAACAAAAGTGGGGTTGTCTAGGGCAAAGAGGAGCCTGGAGGGGACATGTGACACGAGCATCCAATACACAATAATCCATCATATCATGGAATACCAGGGTGGTTTGGGTTGAAGGGATCTCAAGGCCCATCCTGTCCCACCCCCTGCCATGGCAGGGACACTTTCCTGTATCCCAGGTTGCTCCAAGCCCTGTCCAACCTGGCCTTGGACACTTCCAGGGATCCAGGGGCAGCCACAGCAGAGCCTAAGAAGCTCAAGTCATTGCACTGAAGATTTTAGATAAAGCCCACAAAAATCCCTGTAAAAGTAAACATGAGAGTGCTGAGGGACACTGGGTTATGAAGAACAAGTTTGCCAAAACCTCCTGAACATTGACAGGCTGTTCCCCTGCTTTGGGACAGAGTGACAAGCTGACATTTGTCAGAGGCCTCCCTCAGCTCTCTGTCCTGCTTTCAGCTGGGACTGAGCTCATTCTCCTGCCAGCAGCTGGCACAGGCTGCTCTTGGGTTCAGGCTGAGAAGAACACTGATAACACACTGATGCTTTGCTTGCTGCTATCCATGCTTACCTGAACCAAGGACTTTGAGCTTGCCATGCTCTGCTAGCCAGGAGGTGCCCATGAAGCCAGGGGGGATCTGACCCAAAATGGGCACAGGGATATTCCATTCCACAGAGCATGGAATTCATGTAATCCCAGTATGAGAACTGGGGAGCCTGGCTGGGAGGGGACAATAAGAGCAGCTTGGCCATGGGATGGGAATCAGCAGGTACTGAGTTCCTTTTGAGTTTCTTTTGGGTTTATTTTCTCATTGTAATTATTATTATCATTATATTTTACTTTGCTTCAGTAATTAAATAGTCATTACCTCAAGCCATGAGGGTTTTTACTTTCTTTTCTGATTCTCCTCCCTATCCCACTGGGATGGAGCAGGGAAAAGCAGCAGCCTGGTCCCTGGGCTCAAGCCATGACACCTGTGAGGTTGCTGTTATTTTTATTAAATTTAATCCATCAGCACTCAGCTATTTATCAGGGTCACAGCTCTACAGTGCTGGGGCAGCAAACCCCACACTGCCCTGGATTTGGAGTTTGCTGTTTGAGCAAATCAGAAGGCAGAGAAAAAATAAACTTAGTATGAAAACAGACACAAAAAGCACCTTAGAGCCACATTACAATAAATGGGAGGTGATTTGAGAAGCAACCAGCCCCCACCACAGACAAATGCAGCACTGCCTGTTAATCACCCTCAGCAGGCACTGCTCAATTCACTCTCAC